CTCGTATAAATCGCAATTTCACAAATGTCCACGATTTCATATAACAACAGAAGCTTATGATGTTCAGAAAGGGGTTAACATATAGTAATATTTGTTCAAGAAAATGTAACAAATATTCAAACAATCCCATATAATAATTTAAAGAAAATTATACAATTATATGTTATTAACAATATGAACAATCAAACATATTTAAGGGCACACACACATAAAAATTTAGTTGCGCTAGCCTTTAGGGACGTTGTAGATCCAGCCCCAGCTTTTGTTTTTCGCCGTCTGCTTTTACCAGGCAATTTTAGGTTCAGTAGTTTGTACATACAAAATGTTTAAACACAAATGTCCACTATATATTTATACACCCTTCCTCAGTGCAAAACAAAACTTAATTATAAAGCCATCAAGAAAAGAATTTGCTACCTTCAACCTTCGCATTTTAAACGTAAGTGCAGATGTTTTTGAAATTCTATTTACCTTGCAGGTTCTAATGTGGATTCTAGTGTGGGTTCTAATGTGGATTCTAGGTAACTGAGGCAGAGAAATCTGTTCACGTCATGCTGCCTCAGGCATACGAGGCTAGCCTGACTTTTGTATAGACCAATCAGCAGTCAATGATTGATGTGGTCATCAATCTTTTAACTCTTTGAGTCCCAAGGAACGCATCATACGTTCATAGGTTCCTCCAATGAACATATGATGCGCCGATTTTATGTCTCTCTCCCCTACCCCTTGAGCCTGTGATGCTAAACCCCCTGGGACTCAAAGAGTTAATGTGGTACACATTGTTTAAATCTTCAACACGGCTCTTCCCACCGAACATCAGAGCGATATAATATACAGTATGTCCCAATAGTTTCCACAGATATGTAAAATAAACACATCACTAATGGCATTACAATCAGAACTCCAACTGTGCATGTACGTGTTCTTCGGCAGTGGAGGACACGTAATGAAATGTGTTTTTTGTTTAACTGTATCTTTCTTATGTGTGGAAACTTATGTGACGTTCTGTTCAATGAAATATCTGTTAACGTTTTAAACAGCAGCTGCAATAACTGGTGTCACTAGATTACGGCAGACAGTAGCCATCTTCAGGGAACATGTTCTCCGAGAGTCAGTGATGAGGCCAAAACAGATAGTTGGCTGGGATGGTCTTTGATGGAATTTAAACAACATAAGGGAGAAAAAGAGAAATGAAATTATCCCCAAATCTGCCCAAAGCAAGACATCTGGAGGCTACACTTGAGTATTTTGATGTGTGATAACTTTACTCTGTGACAAAAGTTGACATTTCACAAGATTCACATTTCCAGCTTCAAACTTCCACTTTTTTACAAATGACACTAAATGTATTAACACGTACAGATCATTACAAGTATATTACAATTTGCTTGCTAACATAATTCTGCTACACCTGTTCTCTGTCCTGTACTATCTATTTGTCTGACTAGTTAATGCTGCCTTCTTCCAGTGCTCTGTTTGTGGAGAAATGTCAAAGACAAAAACATCTGACAAAAATGTAAAATCTGCGTACTTTGACAGAAATTATTGTCTATGCCTACAAATGAGCATTTATTTAAATAAAGAGAGATATTACATAATAAATTGTTATTAAATGTTACGATTCCTAGTCCTATAATACGTTTCTGACCATACTGCCACTAAGTCTGATGTTACAAAATAACAATTAAAGGAGTATGATTCTTAGTTATATTTTACAAGATGCAATAATGTTTCTCGAACACTTACTGTGACTAATGTTCAACATAATAAATAGAGGAATAACCAGTTATTATAGTACAGCATGGAATGTGTTGTTGCTGGCAAACATCACATGCACATCTCATTTTCTTGTGGACGTTAGCTGGGATGGCAAATATCACCCAATCAAAGATAAAATATACAATGTTTAACCAATCGTGTGCATTCATTTCAAAGTAATGCCTCGGCCAGGACAATGAGGTTTCCAACTTAGTCCCAATCACTGGTGGAGTTTATTTGTTTTTATGCCGATACCTTTCCGTGTCATGGTGGCATTTTTTCTCAATGAGTTCCCTTATGTTGTTCTACTGATCTGACTTATTATCACTATACGTTATGTTCCAAACATTTTCTAATGAACATAAACATGGATATAAAGACTGACAGCGTCTTCCTGATTATACCTCACGGTTAAGCCTCACTTCTCTCATGCTGGACTGTTAATCAGGCTGCACATGGTACTATAAGCAATTTAACTCTTTGTTGGCTATGAAGGAGATGGAGCATTTGTGGGAATGTCCTGAGTGCAGTGATATCAATTCTTTATTCTTTTGTCTCATTCAGATCAGCGACTGTGCTGGCTACAGTATTTGAAACCTTTTGAAAAACCATATTTCTATTCATTTTTTTTTTCTTGCTGTACTGCCTTCAGTATTTTAAGACATTTTGAAAAAAGAAAGAAAAAACCACAATCCTGTAGGAATATCTTCTTCTTGTTTGTCTACAGTACATTTTGAAAAACCTGAATTGTATGTTTTTTTATCTCACTGTACTGCATTCAGTATTTTAAACCTTTTGAAAAACCAGAATTGTATCTTTTTTTGCTCTTGTACTGCAATCAGTATTTTAAACCTTTTGAAAAACTAGAATTGTATCATTTTATTGCTCGCTGTACTGCATTCAGTATTTTAAACCTTTTGAAAAACAAGAATTGTATCATTTTTTTGCTCACTGTACTGCAATCAGTATTTTAAACCTTATGAAAACCATAATTCTGTGCACCAAAATATCTTTTATTATGTACTGTCTACAGTATTGTAACTTTTAGAAAACCCAGATTCCTTGGGATCTAGTCATCTTTCTGTCTGCTGCCTGACTACCCTTGGTTCACATAAAGAGTACTACTACTTCTAACAAGGATTTCCTGCAAACATCAACCATCAAATCCTGCAACTTGTTTCTGTAATAAACTTCCTTTCACATTTCTGTGTTACAGAATGCTTTTAATTTATTATCCTATGGAATATAATTAGTTAACATTTGAAATTATTCACATTTCACTAGTCCAACAATAAACATTCACAATTTTGGATGGTCATTATTTAAATTAATGCTATACAAGACTAAGCTAACAGAAATTACATTCTGCAACTATTTGTTTAAAAAAGTATAAAGCTTGAGAAAAACGACAAATATAAGCACAAAGAATAGTTACATTTCTCTGCCTCACATACAAACACTTTCTTATACAAGGGAGAAAGTCCCTCTTGGTCCCGGTCATCCTATTCATTTGTTCTGTGTCGAAGCGAACTGACATCCCTGAACCGTCTGCTGCAACTGGGCCACATTCTCTGCTCATAATGCGGTAAAACAGCCTAGCATTACCTAGAATTTATTCAAAAAGTTCCACTTTCAATCCGCCAATCAATTCTACCCTCTGGTGCCCTCTGCTTCACTGATTATTTTGTTTTTCTCCAGCCGACTCCTGGCTGTGAATATGATGCAGCTTCTCATGTCATTCAGCTACCAATATCCATGCTCCTAGTGTATCCTGTGCTACAACTGGTCTGGTGCCAGGTGACATATGGAGGTACAAACTCACACAGCTCCATTAGCTAGGGACAAAACACAATAATTACTTTCATATTGTACTTAAGCACTCAAATAAAAATACTGTATTTTACCCTGTAAAGGATAAATTTTCCTAAATTTTGAAAGCTTAAAATTGTGATTGGGGTGTGTGTGTGTGTGTGTGTGTGGGGGGGGTGTGTGTGTGTGTGTGAGAGAGAGAGAGAGAGAAGGGGGGGGGGGGGGGAGAGAGAAAGGGTGGGGGGGGGGGAGAGAGACAGAGAGAAAGGGTGTCATACACAGAATGTGTTAAAAGGCTAGAAATATATATTTCTTAATAAAGGGCTAGAAATATATATATTTCTTAATAAAGGGCTAACAATATAGGGCACATCTTATTCATAGTTGGGTTTCTTATGCAAGAAAAATACAGCAAACACGCTTCATAGTTCTGAAATACCCAGTTTGATTCCAGCTGTGGGTGCTTTTGTAGCGGTTCGCTTAGCTTAGATTTGATTTCAACAGTGGAACGCCAACTGTGTTCAGAAAGCAGTGGCTAACTACTGAATGTCAAACTGTCCAGAAAAACAAAACAGCCACAAAATGCTGGGAGTTGGTTCTGCAATGTCCTGTAAAGGATATGCAACAGGCCTTTATCTGTCTTACTCTTCCAAGTGCGCTCTGTTCAATTCAACAGCTACATGCTAACTACAGGACGTTGCAGAACCAACCCCAGCCTTTTTTTTTTAGTACTTATGGGAGTGTCCCGAGTGCTGACATGTCGATTCTTAATTTATCATTCAACATTCTGTCTCCAAGAGGACCGATTCTGTTTTTCTACCATTCTGTAATATTCTTTGCATTCTTCTAAACAAATTGTATAAGTAGTGGATTCATGACTCTTTTTGGCAATAACAATATAACTAGGATGTCACTGCACTGGAACCCACAAGGTCAAAGTGATCAAGGCAGACCAAAGAATACACGGATTTAAGGCAGACCAGACGCCCAAAAATACAAAGGATTAAGGCAGACCTTTAAATACACAGAATTAAGGCAGACCCAAAAATACAGAATTAAGGAAGACTACAAAATACACAGAATTAAGGCAGATCCAAAAATACAGAATTAAGGAAGACCGGAAAATACACAGAATTAAGGAAGACCACGAAATACACAGAATTAGGGCAGGCCACAAAATATACAGAATTAAAGCAGACCACAAAATATACAGAATTAAGGCAGACCACAAATTCACAGAATTACGGCAGAGCAAAAAGATACATGAAGCAAATGAAAGAGTAAAAGTGAACAAAAAATAAATGGGATTTGCAGTGAGCTGTAAGTGAAAGCCAAGAACAGAATGACCTGGCATGAGTTGGTTGAGTGCCTATGCTCCAGTGAGAGATAAATGACAGAAGAAGACACTCTTCAAATATCTCCTACCTTCTAAGTCAACGCCAGAATTTCAAGTTCTTCCTTACAAAGGAAAATAACAGAAAAAGCAAAGACTCACCGACAGGTCCCAACTCTGCGCTGTTTTTCATGAAGAACTTCTCCAGCTTGGCCAAGATATGCTTCCCGTAGGTGTATTTGCGAAGCGTGGCAATGTATGGCCTGATTTTATGCATCAGAATTTTGCGCTGGGGCTGCTCTGCGACGTCTATCATCTTTTGGACAACGTAGTTAGCAAACTGGTCCTTCATCATCGCATACAGTGCAGTGTGGTTTCTAGAATTAGAAATTGTTAATGGAATTTACTACTAAACAAAGCACAATACTACTACTACTACGTCCATCCAAAGATGTAATTGCGTTGTGTCTGTTTACAGCATAGCTGCGATATTTGTACCTTTCGGCCAACACATCCGACTTCTGCGGGCATTTGTTGACCGGGTTAGCCTTCCCAGGTTAATTTCTGGGGACATGGCAGTCTCATTGTTATTTCCCAGGTCACAGGTGGTGCCCCAATCAGGTTGGTCGTGAGAGGCCACATAATGCTGGTCAGCCCTCAAGAGAAGGCAGGGGCAGAACATGAGCATTCCCCGCCATCCAAGGAGGCTTCCACAAATGCAGAGCTACTACATGGTGCTCTGGTACTGAGCTCACCCAAGGAATCGTCACGTCCTGCTCATGACTGTTCAACCTCACTTCCATATATTTAACATCTCATGTATCATGGGCTATCTCTTTTGTAGTCAACAGTATGCAGCCTGCAGACCTGGGATTAAGCACAATACTATATGCCTATGTCAGGCAACATGCAATTTTAACATTTGCCAGTGAAAGTTGGAGATCCACCAAAGATATGGAACAAAAGTGAAAAAAACAAATGCCTGACAAAAATGAACATAAAATGGGATGAATTCAAGAGGGCTGAAGCAAGAGAAACCACTAGTAACAACAGTTATAAGACAAAGAAGATAGTGCTATACTGGACACATCCTGAGCAGAAATGAGCAGAGAATCACAGACAGGCACTAAAATGAAAAATAAAAGGATTGAGGAAGCAAGGATACCCATAAGAAACCCTAAATAAAGGTTGATGAGAGAGGCCAAAGCTGCTGGACTGGATTCCATTCGTGGTAAGGATTGACTGCAGAGGATAGAATGGAATGGAGGAATAGACTGAGCCTTATGTGCAATATGGCACAACAGGACAATGACGATGATAAAGGTTTGTGCTAAATTATCAGACACACTAGGTATTAAGGTGACCAGTTTTCTTCCACAACTAAGAACAAACTCTGATTCTGGTTAAAAACCGATCAACATCATGGCACAAGGGTGGTAACCCATAAGTGCTCCGTTCTACTTCCAACTCAAGCCTGAACTCTGTAGCACCGGCAAAGATACAATACTTTTTAGCACCGGCAAAGATACAATACTTTTTAACTCCAATTTTGTCCAGGCAGCGCCGTTAGGCTACTCATTTCAATTTCCAACAGCACAGTTAATTTTTTGTGTGCAACACAAACACATTCAGAGGCCTATTGTGCTTATTACGCTGGACCTGTATTTGCATAATAGACTGATAAGCTCTAAATGGGTGATGTAGTCAAACAGACTGACAACGCCCAAGATAATTACTGTCCTTTGAATATTTTCTCCGGGGTATGCAGGTGTGCTGAGAGAGAGAAAAAAAAAAGTAGACTGGCTGAATCTGCAACCCTTGGTGTTAAATTATGCAAGACAAGCTGAACATTATCAGGGCCCTCTGGAAGCATGTGGACGGTTTGAATGCACACAGAAATCTTCAAGGTATGAAGAGAATGGTACAGATGGAGGTGACCAAGAGATCTGGCCAGCACTCAACACTTACAGGAAATTGCAATTGCAACTCTGCAATGGCTGCTGAAGATGGGGACAGAGCATTCACGACTATTACGGGCACTATCGGAACTGCAATTATGCGCTGGTTGTTGAAGAAGGGCACACAACACTGTCTCAAGTACTAGGATACCGGTTCTTAACTTGGCTTGCAGACCAGACATGAACATGCAGACACGCTAGAAGAACGTACCCAAAGCCATCACTTGAGTTACAGACTTCCTCAATGAGCAGTGCTCTCTCCTGCCTGGATGAATGAGTCACACACTTCTCTACCACGTTGCTGAAACAGACAATCAGTAGTCTTATCAAACATTCAGCGAATATAAAAAAAACAAAAAAATAGTTAACTTTTGGATACCATTTTTTTTAAAAAGTCGACTGTTGGGACAGACTTGGTAGGGGACTGTGGGTCTATTCCCCCCCCCCCCCCCCCCCACAAAACCCCGGAGCTCAAGGAGGATTGCAATTATAAAGTCTACTCCCACTGCAGTTTCGAACAAACAAAAACTTTGGGCTGGTGATTCATTTACTGAACTGCAGCTTCAAGTCACTGGTTCCATCTTGTTTTGCACATGGAGATATATATATATATATGTGTGTGTGTGTGTGTGTGTGTGTGTGTGTCCATGCAAAATTTGAGTTCAGAAGTGGACAAACAAACAGGATTTTCTGCCCGAGTCTATAGCCAGTAAAGCTAAGAATAAAAGAAAAATATATAATTACCTGGCACATTTATGCTGGCTTAGTGAGAGTACCCTCCCCTTGACCATGTTGACGATTTTACTCTTATCCTCAGCACGGCCATGCTCCATTATGTGCTGAATGACATAGTTGCCATACTGGTCCTGCACAAGTCGTTCAGCATTTTCGTGAAGCTCCTCCAAGATCATGACTGTCTGCTCTGCTGCACAATGCTCTAACACGCGCTGAATAACTCGGCAGCCATAGGCATGTGTGGACAGATTAAACACCTGAAACATGCCAAAGCAACAATGTATTATTTTGTGTTCTTCTTTGCATTGCCTGGCTCGACCCTCTTACAGAGAAATTTCTGGTTGTTTACCCACAGCTGGACTTTAGCCCGAGTTTTGTGTGAACATCCATTTAACAGGTCCGGCTTATATGTAAACAGACTGCCAACTACTCACCTCACTTCAACTTTAAAAAAAAACCTAATTGGCAAACTGTTGTGACATGCTTGGGGGGGGGGGGGGGGGGGGGGGGGGGAGAGTATTCTTCTTCTCCCCCCCCCCCCCCCAGATTGTGACGGGTACCAGTTTTGGAACTCTGCGCTAGCTGCTGAAGATAAGGAGGGAGCGCACATGGGAATGCCCCGAGTGCTGTGATATCAATTCTTGACTTAACTGGCCACATCACCAACTGAGCACCAATTGTCTAAAATATAAGTCTAGCCCTATATGCCTCAAAAGACTAAAGGTATGGAAAAGGGTCTTTACATTGTTGTGTTGCTAAAATAGGTTGATAGCTGCCAATGTGCTGAGCAATGAAACAGCAAACTTCCGTCATTTTTTTATGTGGTCTCCGCATGATACACTAGTGATCTTTTTGAAAAGACCTCATTTCCAATATTTCATGACAGTCTAAACAGCTGAAAGCATCCGACTCACCTGTCCTTTGAAAGCATCAATGATGAACTGGAGGTACTTGGGGTCAACACATTCAATACACTTCTGCACCACATGGTTCCCGTTCTGATCCTTGACACACTTGAGAACGTGGCCATCGAGTTCCTTCACAATCTCCACCTACGCAACAGAATGCACAAGAAAACATGAAACGGGATGCTTGACAGTAACGCTGTTCACAAATACAAATAGTAAGTAAAATCAACATTTTTTCCCGTGTGGATTCCGAGGACTAATTTTTGAGGAAAAATAAATAGATCCACTGCCCCCTAATAAAGATGTGGTAAGTGGCAACTAAGTGGCGTTTTTCTGAAATTGGATGTGTCGGGCTGAAAGGTGCCGGTACCATGCCTAGCTGTAAACTACACACCCTTTTAAGTGTGAACACAGAGGGAAAATAGGAGCAGACCTGCAGCTCTTGGGTTCAAATCTGCATTAGGTCAGATTTATTTTCTTCAGAACTGATGTTGACTCCTAGGTTGACCCAGTCTAATATGAGTATCAGGCAGTGTCCTAGGAAGTGACGGTGGCCAGCATGATTGCTGACCACATCACTCACTCACTCACTCACTCACCCAGTACCAAAAGGTCTTTAAAAAAATATGAGTTTAGGTACTTCCCTTCACTTCTGGATCAGAAAAAACAGAAATGTCTTCACTAAATCCTAAATCTAACTAGAATAGACAGGATCAGAAATGTCTACACTAAATCCTATATCTAACTAGAATAGACAGGATCAGAAACAACAGAAATGTCTACACTGAATCCTAAATCTAACTAGAATAGACAGGATCAGAAATGATGACACCCAGAAACTAGCTGGGATGGAACCAGTATTAAACTACATCGAGAGATGACAGATCAAAAAGTCTGGACATGTGTCACAACTGCCAACAGACAGTGCACCACAGAGAGCCCTTATATTTAGACATAATTGCAGCACATCCAGAGGGTAACCACGCAAGCGATGGATCGATGAAATATCCATGGCTGTAAATAACAAAATCTTTTTACACATACCAAGGCTCGCACCCGATGCCGCTTCAAAACCTGATGCAAAAAAAACAGAACCGGGCAAGAGAAGACATAAATTGGCTTACCAGCGTTACAATTGTAAGGAATCAAATGCAAACTGCGGCCAAAGAGCCGGCATTAAAAACAACGCATGCTTCCAGCCCAGTAGTAGTGTTTGAATCTGGGTCAGATACTTCTCCAATGGACCTGTTCTTTGCAGACTAAAATGAGTACCAGGAAGTATTCTAGAAATGAAAGGTAGTGAGCATAATACAGAAGCTAGAAAATGTACAATGTGTGTAGTGCAGCGATCTCCAACCTTTTTCAGGTGGCGAGTACGTGGCAAGAATCCACCCCCAACCCCTTAAAAACCAACGAGTATGATCATAGACAAGAATGAGTGTGCTCTTAATATTATTTAGAGTTAAAACAGCAGATGTATTTTTATGAAACGAAGAGTTGTTAACCCTTTGGCTCGGCACTATGAATATTGCAACCCTTCGGGCCTTGATTCCATGATAGATACTGTAAATCTAGGAGAAATGTGGATTTTCTACACCCCCCCCCCCCTTTCCACTAGCCTTGAGTAAGTCATAAGTATGTGTTCAGTTGAATGATACTAAAAGAGTTAACACAAACCTGCATGTCACTTGGTATAGATTCTAGAGCTTTCTGAATCACCCTACAGCCATACATTTGCAGAGCCAGTGGCAAAACATGACCCCTGACTCGCTGTGCCAGCGTCTGCTTTTGTTCTGGAGTACCAAACTCAAAAAACTTCTGAATCACGTAATTGCCAAAGACATCTGTCATTAGGGAGTAGGCGGCTGATAAGATTTCTCCAAAAATCATGCTCTTCTCTGGTGGTGTGGCCCGCTCCAGTTTTTGCTGAATGAACCTGAAATAAGCCATGCGGAAAATAAGATTATTCATTTTGATAACAGTCGACAGATTATCATCAATGCACACTGAAATATTCAGCACATAAGTTATCCAATCCCCCACCTTAATAAATCCTGCAGCGTGCAGCAACTGACGGCACCAGTTCTTTTTTGGTTTCCTATTCTTCTTTGGCTTTCTGCATAGTGCTTCTGTCTTATCTTCTTCTCTTCCACCTTGTACCTCAGCGAAGTGTCAGGAAGGGAGTGGGGGTGTTCTGTCTTATCACACGCCTTTTAACATGTTGTTCTTGCAGTCTGGTCATAGCTGCAGATTCAGTCATCAATTAATTCATTTAGCATTCTCGTACAGCGTTCAGTATACCAGCCTGGTCTATGGCTTGTACGTCCTCCAGTGGCCTTACCTGCAAGCCTACCAGCTTGCTTATTTTCCTGCATGCCTGCGTGCCCTGGAACGAATATGTAACGGACAACCCTGACCGCCTCTAAGACCCTAACCACTGGCTACGGACCCAGTCTATCTATAGCAGCATACTCATAATAATAACAGCGGTGAAAAGATAAAAATAGAAGAATTACCAAAAATTCATTTTAAAATCATGAAGCATTAAAGAGATCAAATGTTGAATTTCAAAAATGTTATATATATATATATATATAATCAGCGTTAGTGGATGGTGCAAAAGAATACAGAATGAATAAAGAATTAAACCCAAAAGATGACCTACAAATGTGCATATACAGAAGGGGTTCTATGTTTGCATAGATACCATGACCAAGGTCAAGTGACCTGCAAAAAAACAAAAGCTAAGATGTTTGGGTGGATGACAAAGCAACTGGGGTACCCAAAAAGAAAAAAGAAAAAAAAAACCTTTTAAAGTAATGTCAACAATTCTATCTTCAAATAAGAATTGTTAGGAATTGTTACAGGAAACAAATTGTTTTCACTTGACATCACCTGCCAAGATACTGATTCTGGGTACACTCAACAAACAGGGAATATCACTAAAATGTTTTCATTTAAAACATTTCACCTGGAGCCATGCTGGTCCTGAGCAAACTCAACCACGTGGTTCATCAGGTCTTTAAGGCTCAAATTTGGGATTCTGTTGTTCCTGAAGTCCTCCAGTAGCCGGCTGCGCCCTGACACCTCCTTTGATAAGTTAGCACTGAAATCAATCAACAATTAAACTCCATACAATGATGTGTCAATATTAAGAATATAGGTTACATATTTCCTTAATTTCTTCACAAATTCCATATCTAGCAATCATTATCTGTACAAGCTGCAGAGAATGATGAAAACATCATGGACAACTTACACAATCTTTGTCTTCTTTATGTTCACAGGCTGTATACTCTGGCTGTCTGTCCACTTTTGGACATTGGTCTTGTTTCACAAGTTGGTCTTGTTTCACAAGTTGGTCTTGTTTCACAAGTTGGTCTTGTTTCACAAGTTGGTCTTGTTTCACAAGTTGGTCTTGTTTCACAAGTTGGTCTTGTTTCACAAGTTGGTCTTGTTTCACAAGTTGGTCTTGTTTTACAAGTTGAGTTTTGTTTCACAAGTTGAGTTTTGTTTCACAAGTTGAGTTTTGTTTCACAAGTTGGTCTTGTTTCACAAGTTGGTCTTGTTTCACAAGTTGAGTTTTGTTTCACAAGTTGGTCTTGTTTCACAAGTTGGTCTTTTTTCACAAGTTGGTCTTGTTTCACAAGTTGGTCTTGTTTCACAAGTTGGTCTTGTTTCACAAGTTGAGTTTTGCATGCACATCTGTCTTACAGATGTGACTTATTTGTATGCAGACTTTGTCCCTTGCCTCTCAGGCAGACGCACTCCAACTTTGAAGAAATCACACCTAACTGGTCACTATTCATGACATGATTGTTAGGGGGGCATCCCCCCCCCCCCACCCCACCCTCCCTGGGACCCCTGGAACCCACACAGAGACAATGATGACTATAACGTTAAGTTAGCCATGTCAACAACAGAAAACTGACCACCTAAAAAATGAAATGTCTGATAAATGCTGTGGAACAACATTAGAAGAGATTGTGTGAAAACAACAGAATGGAGAACTATTGGAACAACACAAATTGTTGAATTCACTGAGAAACAAAAACTGAAATGGTTTGGCTACCTAAAAAAAAAATTAATCTAATAATGCCAGCAACAAGAGCATACAACATGAAAATAGAAACACCAAGAGACAGTGGGAGACATAAATGAACATGGACTGAAGGAGTAAATGACACAGTATACCAAGCAAGGGAAACATGTCCTGACTCAGCTATCATTTATTAAATTGCAATGCCTAGTGGCACAAAGCAGACAGTAACAAAAGAAAATGACAGGTTCATAAACAGAACAGACAACCGTCAGTGCCTGGAGACCACAGAGATGTGCCGCTGGATGGATTTGAGAACAGCGACTGCTATGACTGTCAGGTCCAATGTGGGAATAGCAGCCTCTGCCACACAGCCCACATAAGAATGTTGATCCTCTCTTGTCTTCAGGTTGGTTTTATTTTACATGTCTAGTCTCTATTTGCCTCCTGCAAACAGACCGTCTTTCACTGTCTGCCTTCCCTGGATTCAGTCTGCAGCTGATCTCTGTGTGTGTCAATAACTAAAAATGGTAAATTTCGTGGTGGTAGAAATGACTGCTTGGATTTTGCAACTAGTCATCTACGGTATGAGTAGCCAGTTTCAGGCCAATCATCCTTAATTGCATCTTTAAGATATGTTACTGTCTGGTAATCTGGTAATTTTAATTTCAGCTTCATAGCAAACGGGTCAACCCATCTTTGCCCCGCTCCTGTGCCAACGAAAAACACACAGAATGTTTATCACAGTCCCTTGTGGAAAGACTGACAAACTGCTGTCTCAGCAAATCTAGCATACACTCGCATTAAAAGCATATGGTAGCCATCCGAAGTGCTAACACAAACAGTCTGACGTTAGAAATGAAGTTCATCATTGATGGTAGCAGAAGTCACCAAAAGATCAGCAGTTGCACACGCGATCAATTTTAATCAAATAATGGCCCCACCAATATTGTGAATCTACAAATCACACCACCACGTTGGTCAGTCGAAAAACATTTGAAATTAAATCTGCAGCTCACAGTGTCACGCCATGCACTCAACTCAGAAGCTGGGTAACAAAACTATATACTTCCAGTCTACAAATGGAGCAAAAAAGCAACGGCTGTCTGTTTCCTTTATGAGTATAAACAACCGTTAAGCAGATGAATTGTTAGAAGTATGACAAGGCAAAAACTATTTTTAAAACGTCACTAATTAAACACACAGGACCGTCCAACATTCAGCCATTCCAAACACTCATCTTTCATACTGCAATTTCCTCGTGTGGGTTCCGGGCTCTTATCTTGGCAGATATACACAAAAAAAACACATAAAAACTTGACCCATGCCCCCTCTAATAAGCATATCCGAGGATGTGACATTAGGGGTCAAGCCACAACTGCAGCGGTCAGTTCCAGATTAGAATACCAAAGATTTAAAACCAACAATAAACAGCCTACCTCCTAGTTGTCACCGTCCTGTTGTGAAAGACAGTGTTCCCATAAACACCACTGGCTGGGGAAACAAACTCAGCTGTCCTATATTTGGCTGTTTCTGCTCCGGGTGCCACGGAATATGGCCTGCCTCCTAAATTCATACCTGATGGAAGGAGAGAGCATATTTTACTACAGTTAATCGCACTGTCCAATCCTACAAGCATTATACCATATGGGTTCCAGGGTTCCCATTACTGGAACAAAACAGAAATACGAAGCCCAACAACAAGGATATCGCAAAAATCTAATTAGGGGTGCTTCTTTTGATGTCAGAGTACATCCGCCTGAGAAGCGTGGAACAAATAGTCTGCATCAAAATAAGAAAGATCAGTAAAAAGGATGTGCATGCAACAACAAGTTCTGAAACAAGATTTAAAAGTCCAGACATGGACGATAAACCAAAACTTTCCGCCACAGAACACGAAGAAAAAAAAGAGTGCATAAATGTGCCTAAAGTAATAGTTTGAAAAATAGATTAGAAAAAGAAAACATTTGCCCTGAGATGCCTATATTTTGGTTTGGGCGTCCAATACAAATTCCTCAAGCTGTTAATTCAGCACTGGTCAGTCCCCTATAGGAAATGAGAAATACACGCAAGATATTACAGCGCCCGGCAAATAGCTTGACCCCTTAGACATGATGAGCCTCTGTGAATCAAGTAGACCCCTGCAAAATTATGTTTTTAATGCTTGGTTTAAAGATTTGACCCAGAACCGACAGAATAAAATCTTACATCTCCTGTATTTTTATTCTTGTCAATGAACCTGAAACCAACAAATGCCTTCTTGAAGAAGTCAGATGTGTTTTGACAAAAGGCACAAACACAAAAATAACTGGTGATCAGCAGGAAGAAGAATGAGAAAAAGACAGGTGAAGGAGAACAAAACTGAAATAGATGACCATTAGAATCTACCAAATGGTTGTATATTACAAGTGATTAAGAAACCTACCAATGGGAATATTTGTATCCGACCCAGAGAGGGAAGGTGGGGGTGTCATCGATGAGGCTCCCGACATCATGTTACCGCCGATGGTGCCCAGGGAAGAGTTGGCCATACCAGGCAGAGGAGCATAATATCCACCGAAAGGAGGCAGTGACGGCTGGCGCTTCATATCAAAAGAATCTCTCTGTTGCCCTAAAAGAAAAAGAAAATACCTTAAAATATGTACAATGTCGAAAAAGAATAAATGGTGAGTGATCCCTGTGAGTTCCAGGCCCATGGTTGGGAAAACTAGAATAGATCAACTGCCTCCCAAAACAAGCTTGTTGTCAGGGTCGACTAATTGTGGGCATCCTTCAAAGTCATAGAGTACATCTGCCTGAGAAGCAAGGAACCGAAAGTCTACATTAAAAAAAAATCCCATCTGTAAAACGGATGTGCACACAACACTCAGGTTCTGGAAAAAGACTAAATTCAAGATGTGGACGAACAACCAGAACTTGCTGAGGAAGATAGCCAGTGAAGGCAAAGAAGAAGACTGGTAAGTGGTAAATTTGGTAAGTGGTAAACTGGTTCAACATCAGGATGTTAAGGATACAACTAAGGCTAAAATATCAGGGTCTTAAGGTTAATAACTGAGTGAAACATAGGATGTTAAAGTTGAGACTGAGGGAAAAATCTGGGTGGTACTTCTGAATTTGCCATTAAAAAGGTGGCTAGCATATTGCGAGGTTGCGATATCTTCAACTGTCAGCCTAACAGCCGATTTCAGGAAACCCCCTACTTAGTCGCCTTTTGCAAAATGCTTGTTAGAGGGCAGCAGGTTATTCTTTTGTTTTTCACCTACAAAAACTGGGGCCCAAAAACCCACACAGGTCCTAAATCTTTAGACAAAACTGTATCATGTATACAGATGTACTTAGTACCCTGACGGTTTAACTCATTCAGTCATTACTGTAAAATCTCACAAACAGAAAGCCATTAATGGAGGAAGATATTTGTCAAGAAGCACAATGAGAGGCCAGTATTGGGATCAAATACTGACAAGTAATTTGTATGTGTTTTCAATACACACACACACACATATATATACATGAACATACGTTGCTAATTATGTAAAGTTATAATAAAATTTTAACAATTATTAGATGTCAACATACTAAGATACTGAAAATGACATGATGTCAATATGAATGAAGATTATTTCAGGCAAAAATTAATATTAAGTCTGATAATTAAGTCTGAGTGCATCTGCCTGAGAGACAGGAAAGTAACGGTCTGAACACAAACAAGCCAGACGTGTAAAACAGATGTGCACGCAGAACTCAGGATCTGGAATAAGGCAAAGTCCAGAAGTAACCAAACAATAAGCACTTCCTGTCGGAGTTCACACCTGGTGAACACCAAGAAGAAAGCGATACGACAACCAAAAAAGTCACCTACAAGAGGTCCTTACCTATTGTCCCCACAGCACCTGAGCTGATGCTCTCGTAACTGTTACTGGTGTAAGTATTCTGATGTGGGGCGGTCATCGTCAGCGTGGAGACAGGAGTAAACAAGCTGGTAGTGACTTGTGTGTAGCCCAAACTGCTAGTAGGAGAATAGCCTAAGAAAACAAACAAACGTGTTACAATTATTATTTTTAACTGCCAATTTTCTTTCTTATTATATAACAGACAGTTGAAGATATTGCAACGTGCTAACCACCTTTTTAATGGCAACTGCAGAAGAAGTAACCAGATTTTCCCCTCAGTCTGTCTGTCTATATATATTTAGGGCCACATTAGCGCAGTCGATAAGCGGCTCGCTTTCAAATAAAGCTGCGACTTGCTGCAGCCCGCGGTGGGTGTTCGAAGCCGGGCGGTTCCCGAGGTTCACCCAGCCTTCTAGGAAATGGTACCAGAGTTGACACTCTGGGGGTAAATGGAGGAATGTCGCTGCAGCTACAGAGTTACTTGCGAATGGCGACACAGGCGGACAATTCTTATCAGCTGTCCGTACTGGTGGTGGCAGAGCACCTATGGTTTATAATCGTTTGCAATGACACTGGTTCACATCTTCCGATTTTACCTTTTTCTTTCTTATCCTCTTGTCTTGCTCTGCCTTTCGGTTTGAAAAGGCACCTGGTATGCACTACTTAGATGCTGGTATTCGTGGCCTTGGATACTGCAACAGCCTTTCGCCTGTGAGGGCGACCTCTAACTCTACTTCCATTGTGAAATAAGTGACAGTGCTCTCTGTGGTGCCTGATCTTGTGGTAATCTCAACACAGATGTGAACCATTTGATCTGCTGTCTCTTGCTTAGCAATGGTTTCGTTTTAACTTGTTTCCTGACATCGTCGCTTTTAATCCTGCCTCTTTCTATCTCCTTGTTCCCACATGGTTGAGCTAGCTTCACCAGCATGATTTATCCTATGGTGTGTGTATTGGTGGTGTGGGGTGGGGTGGGGGTGATGGAGCATAAGGATTTAGGGTTGCTGCAGTCACCACAAACTGTACAGGCTGGAATTTTCATTTTCACCTGACAGGAAAAAAAACTTCCACCATTCTACCAAGAGTTCTACTTTGGGTTCCCACATAATAACCCAACCTTCTAACCTCTAGATCAGCCATTCCACGTACAACTGTAACATTCAATGCAAAGTCATACTAGAAACAAAGTGATTATGTATATATCATCATCATCAAGTGCCTCTCCAGAACCTACGATCATCAACAGCATGTGCTGATATCCCTCCCTCCCATGAAAATTGGCTGTTAAGAATCTCTTAAGAATCTGTTCAGAATGTCTTGAACCTAAGGATCTGAGGCCGCAAGGATAGTACAGTCACCATGACATGTACAGCTTAGGATTTTACTTTTACCCCTACCAGACAAATCTGCTTTATCAAAGATCCGAACTGAAGTCTCCTGAAAGAGAGCCCAGAGCTCTAAACTGTGCAGCCAGGACCTCTCTTTAAGTATCCACAAATAAAATAATGACTTGCTGTTTGTCCAGTTTAAGTCTTTATCTTTTAGCCTCTCAAATGACTCATCCTAGCTGGCCAAGAGAGTTTAAACATCTGTTTGCACAAACACACCCCCCCCCCTTTTCCCCGATTCTTATCTGTTAGCTTACGTTTTTGTAAATTTCCTTGAAACTTCACCATCATCTGTAAATTGTCCTCATGTGTGTTCCGGGGAAAACGAGAATAGCACCTCTGCATTTTGCATAAAGCATGTCATGAGAGTCAACCGACTGGGTTCTTCCTTCGAAGACTCAGTGTTATCTGCCTAAAAGCAAGGAGGTAGGTAGTTAGGTAGTTGTACCCCACCAGGACATTACACAAGTGATAAACACCCGGTGACACAAAGTGCCACCATGCGGATAAGCATTACCCGTGGAGAGGTCCAAGAAACACCTTTCAGCCGTTAGGCCATATCTATGTCACGACTATATTCAGGGCCCCCAGCAGGAGCCAGGGTGGGGCTTCAAAAAACAAAAGATTGCATTCCACATGGGGACAACTTTTAATGATATATGTATAACAGCAAAGAACCAACAGTCAGCATACAAATGCGTCAGATCAGACAAACGGATGCCCACCCAACACACAGGTTCTGGAACAAGACTAGAGTTTGGAAATGGGCAAACAATCAGAACTTTCCGTTGTGGCTTACACCCGGTGAACATAAAGATCTGCACATTTTATGTTACGGCACTAAACATATAATGTAACTTACCCAAACTTCCTTGGCTGGCTACAAGAGGTGTGTTACTTGCTACTGGTGGTGTCTGCTGCCCTTGTGAAGTCAGCAGACGCAATGGGCTAGTGCCGCTCAACTGGCCTGAGCCTGCTGAACAACAGATGAATCATTAACAAGAAAATGAAATTTGTTAGACGAACCATTCATTTCGTCCATTTATCCCCCAATCACAGACTCAAAACCAGCTCATGCCAAGTTGTAATATCAGCTGTCATGATGTGGATGGAGCCTACCCTACGTCCTCCAATCTTTTCAACTTCAATCTCTGGTTCCCTTCTCCCCGTATTTCACAAAAACTGTCCCCTCCATGATTGTAGTCTGTAGCATTAACAGAATCAAACATCCTGAGAAATCCTGTTCAACCGTATGCCACTATAACACAGCTTCCTTGGGGCACCCTACTGTTACGAAGTTGCCCGCAATCCAATATGGGTTGTTATGTGTTGGCTGGTCAGCACTGATTTCTCTGACCCTAAAACTATGACTTGTATTTGCTGAATGGCATTATTAATGTCAGCAACTGCCACTTTGCAAATATAAGCTGATGTAATGTAAATCTGTAATCCCTGTGTGGGTTCCAGGACCCCATTGTGGGGGACAAGAATAGACCCACTACCTCCTCAACAAGCATGTCCTAGGAGTCAACTAATTGGGGACTTCCATCAAAGAAGATGTGCATCTGTCATGGTGGCAAGGACCAACCAACAGCACACAAATAAGCCAGTAAAACGGATGTGCACGCAAAACTCAGGCCCTGGCACAAAGCCAAAGTTCAAACGGACGAACAACCAGGACTTACAGCTGGTGAGCAAAGAAGGAGGAAAAAGTAAATCTGTAAAAATAAGAACAATGATACCAATGAACTGCTATCTCGTTAGAGTGCTTGAATAAATAAAGGGATGAATTAACAACTGATATTAGAGTACTTAAGACATTTCCCCACACCTGTTCCATTCCCTCTCAGTGGATGTGAAAAACTAGCATCAACACTACATATTTGTCAGTGCAATGTGCACGGGCGTTAGCAAGAACATGGGGGGGGGGGGGGGGGGGGGGGGGAAGGAGACAGCCTGCCACTGTCTGTAAACTTAAAATAATGCGGATATAAACGATACATACACTGCACTGCCTTGCCTTGCTGCTCTTGCCTTTTGCATATTTATACCTATACATTTAATTATTGTCCATAATGATATCTAAAAAGGTGTATTATTCTTCCATAAGGTGACTGCTAGTTTTCTAGTCTGCCCACTTTATGGCAAACAACTCTCAACTGCTCCCCTACTGTGCCAGTCAACAAAGGCATAAAATGCCCTTCACTGTCAAAGCTCAAACAAATCAATTCTGGAAAATCCAGTAGCCCAAACATGCATAAGGCCAGAGGTACCAACACTAGCAGTCTGCCACTAGAACTGTAGTTCACTGTTGATGAAAGCAGCAGTCACAACAAACTAGCAACGGAATATGCAATAATGCATAAGGCGCATAACCATTTTTGACACAAAACAATAACACCGGCCATTTTCTAAATATACTGTTCACAACACAATGTGCACAAATAAACAGCTTTCCCTGTGAAACCAACAATGTCACAACAAGTCCTCAGCTCAGTAGCTCGTCACTGAAACTATCAGTAATAAAATATCTCACTAACCTTGCTGCTGGGATCCGGTATTCATGAGCAAAGAAGCAGGAGAAACCAACCGGACTTGTGGTCCTAGCAATCTGGGATTGACAATCTGACCATTCTGATCAATGTAAGCTGGAGCCATCAACTGGTAACCACCATCTTGTTGACAAAAAATGGCAAGTAATCATTGCTGTGTGTTATTATTTTCTTTTTCTACATTCACCGGCAGTAAACTACGGTGGAAAGTTCTGGTTGTTCTCGTCCACTTCTAGACTTTGGACTTGTGCAAGAACTTAAACCTTCCATATTTGCATGCAAGTGGTTGCTCACCTCTTAGGCAGATGTACTCCAACGCGGACATCCTTAATTAGCCGTGCCCGACACGAAGGCAGTAGGTCTATTCCATTCCCCCTCCCCCCTTTTCCATAGGTCATCGGAACCCACCCTAGGATGCGGCAATAAAATTTTAAAACCAAGCATACATTTTGTTACTGCAACATGAACTAAGAATTTGAAAAACTACCCTTAAAAAGGGTCTTTCCTACTCGGTGTAAGGGTCTTTCATACTCCAATGGATTAGTAGCTATTCACAAACAACTAAGCACAAACTGGAAGAAGTAGGCTAAAACAGAGATTAATGGAGATATCTGTAGCAGCAAAACTCCAGAGGAAGCTATGTTGATGCTACCATAGCTTCTGGTAGAGTCTCCTATGTCGAAGAGGTTATGGTATAGAACTTATCTATAGTCCTGCACTGTCTTTCAGCGTCATCCTAAAAAGAGCCGCTGGGTGTGAGCCCTGCAGTGTGCTATGTAATGCTGGTATTTGTGGCCTTGGATATTTTGTTGGCAAACGCTAGAGAGCGCCCGTCCCATTGTTAATTATCATAGATTAATTGTCTTTTGGATAGATATCAACATCTAATTCACGAGGATTAAACCTCTTCTTATTTTTCTTCTTCGCGCCAACGGCTGTAAGCTCCAGTGGAAATTTCTGGTTGTTTATCCACATGTGGACTTTAGTCTTGTTCCATAGCCTCAGTGTTGTGTGTACATTCGTTCAACAGTATGCAGATTGTTGGTTCCTTGCCTCTCAGGCAGATGCACTCCGACTTCGAAGGAAGCCCCCAATTAGTCGACACTTAGGCATACTTTTTGGGGAGGCAGTGGATCTATTGTTTCCCCCACAATGGGGAAACGGAACCCACATGGGAAAAAAGTCACATTAAAAGATACTACACTTATGAAAATCATAACCTGAGCAAAAAGAAAGCAAGTGAGCAAGAGGCAGAATGCGGATACAAGTAGGAGGATAACACAGAGATGGACAACCAGTGGTCTGACAGCGCACATCCAGGGCGACATAAGAGCATGTTGATCATTTTCTGGCAACCTTCATTTTGGAAATGGCGCGTGACATAGAATTGACATTATATTTACATTTCTTGCTTCAAATGTCTTGTATTAAATATTTTCACAAGAAGTTGTTCCAGGGCCCCGCTGTGGGGGAACAAGAACAGACCAACTGCCCACAACAAGCATGTCCTAAGAGTCAACTAAACAGCTATGTTTCCTTCAAAGTCGGAGTGCATCTGCCTGAGAGGCGAGGCACAAACAGTCTGCACACAAATAAGCCAGATCTGTAAAAAGCAAAACCCCTGGAACCAGAGTAAAGTCCAGAACAGTGGAACACAGAGGAAAAATATGTTCACAAGATTCTGAACAACATAAGAAAATGGTGATAAATCAAAGAAAGACACACAAAAAGGAAAAGTGCCTACTTGTCTGCATGGTTTGACCCATCTGGGTTGCTGCAGGGCCAAGAATGTCGCTCTGCTGAGCTGGTGACGCTGCCCGTGCCCGCAAATACTGCTGCTGCTGCTGTTGCAGGGACTGTGGCGTCTGCTGTCCTTGCATGAGGTTAGGGATGTTGGTGCTTGGAAACATCATGGGGATCTGATAGTACTGATGCATCATGGATGGACCTGGTTAAATGTAAATGACACAATAACACAAAATAAATAAGAATGTAAATGACAACAAAAAAGGGAGGGGGGGGTGGGGGGGGGGGGGGGGGGGGGGGGCTATTCTTTTTCCACCAAAATAAAAGTCACATAACCCACACAGGGAAATAACATACTGAAAGCGTGATACGCTATACACAAAATAAACAGGCCCACAAAAAGAGAAGTTTTTCTGTAAGAAAAAAAGCATATGAAGGTAAAGAGAAAAAGAGTTAGGAAATGTCAGCCAAGACACATAGAATTTCCTTGACTGACTGACTTCTGTGTCCATTTTTTACAGGCATAAGAAATTCTAGACTACTGAAACAAGAAGATATTCAAACAGCATGTGACAAAGATAATCTGCACCAGTTCAATGAAACTGGTAGTCTACACAGTGAAGAATTTAGATGATGTGAATGTGTGAGAAAGAAAAAAGAGAAGATTCTTACATCTCCACCTCCACTCCCCGAACACATCCTTAAAAAAAAAAAAATACTCCCTGCTGGTCAGTCACCTGCTTGCCAGTCAGTAGGTTTGGAGGTTTAAATCCAAACCTGGTGGATTTTGTATAAAATAAAAATGACCTTGGCTGCAAGATCAAACCACACTGGGTTGTGCAAGCATATCCATTTTACTGGCTTATTTGTGTGCTGCTGATTGTTCCTTTCCTCTCAGGCAGATATGCTCTAAATTCGAAGGTTAGTTTACTCTTAGGACATGCTTGATAGGAAGGGTCTTGTCTTGTTTTCCTCACAATGTGGCCTCAGAACCCACATGGGGAAAACACACATTAAAAAAAAAAACAAGCGGTTTTATGGAGTCCATGTGACTGATAAATAATCTTTTTTTATTTGTCACATTTCTGAAGCTAAAGAGCAATTAATGACTACACAGGATAAAGGAAAACAGAATACAAAAAGGGGATAAAAATAAAAGTTTAGACATGGATAAAAAAAATTTAAAACAGTGAAAACAGATTTAATGTGTCAGTTTCAGTAAGCATAGGTATTTATAGTACTAATTGATAATAGATCCAACCATAGGTCACCTACTAATCAGACGAACAATAAAGTAAATGATAAGAGCAAAATAAGATATTTCCTAGTGCTTTCCTGATATCTTCCTCCAGGTTGAGGTCATGGGACAGTCCAATATTTTTTAGGGTGGTAAATGCGAGTTTCCTGTCTTTCTGATGCTTTAACGACCCCAAAACATTTACAACTGGGCCTAACCCCAACCCACCTATGTCCCACGAGAGAGTGCAGCCTAGGTCCCACGACTGCATGCAGCCTATCTACCACCCACTAAAATATTTGAATGTCTGTTGGGGGGAAGGGGGGGGGGGGGAGGAGGAGAAGATATATTGGGGTAGGACCCATTTCCTACATGCTAAAGCTGAATGTAAGAATCTTAAACTACATAACACACAAAAATGAAGACTTTAGCAGGAGTGTGGTGATCTATTCACAAACATTTTATGCAATACAAAAAAAAAACAGAACTTGGACTATAGAAGTGTCTGGTGTAAACAAAAAATGGATGCCTCATACATTAGAAGAACAAAGTAGTAACGAAGGTGGCTGTTCATTAAACCATAACTTGGAAGCACTAATATTGAAACTTCACACCATTACAGCGGATTTAAGGTGAATCCAAATTTAACTTATAAAACTGAAGAGCTGAAGGAGAAAACAGCTCGAGGGTATCATTAATTTGCCTTTGTTTGCCCTTAAAGGGGTGGGTGGCACACTGTGTATTGTTATTCCGACACATTCGATTTCAGCAAATCCTTAATTAGTCGCCTTTTACTCCATGCTTGTTAAGGGTTAGTATCTGTGTTCTTTTTGAACAAAAAAACTGGGGTTCTACAACCCACATGAGAATCGATGATTCAAAACAAAGACAATACCAAGAAATTATCATGATAAAGCCTGACCAAACTCAAGACCATGGCTCAGTAGAGAAACGACAGAGATTCATTTCATTACACTACAAATCTTGACTAAGATGGCACCTGAGAAAGATGATAAACTGAAGGACTCAAATACTGTACAAAACTTCAATACAAAGAAGAGGTGTCTTACTTGTCACTTGCAGAGTTTTCATAAAGTCTGTAAAGTCAAAATTCCGAACCGGCTCAGTTTCAGAACTCAGCGACAGAACTTTGCACCTGACAATACTGGGGTCACAAAGTGGCAAGGGGTCATATATAAACTGTGGACTGCCCATAATGTTGCCCCCTGACCTTCCCGAATCCACAAGAAAGGAGGGGGACCCCAGAACAAGTGTGTGCGCACAACAATCATTCCTCTGTGGTGTGGCATTACTATGACCATACGCACACAACATAGCGGGTGTGAGGTTCACTGTTTGCTTGGTACCAAGGTCCAACTGGCAGGAAAAATCCTGATGGATCTCAGGTTGCTTGCTGGGGTCACTCTGGTCATTCTCCAAAAGAACACATGTCTGTTCAGGCTCCATGGACAAAGTGAGTCCTGACTTGACCACACCGGACAAGAAATCCCAGAGTCTTTGCTGTTCCTCTTCAGGCTCATTTCCCAGCTTCTCCAAAAATCTTCCAATGTGGTAAAATGGATCTTTAGAGGATGAGAACAGAGTTGCGGCCAGTGGAGCTTCAGCTCTGCTGGCTTCAACACTGTCTGCTGTGCCAGTGTGTTCAGTGGCAGTATCATCATATGCCGCCGTTATATGAAGGAAATTGTTGGTATAATCATCTACTGCAACATCAAGGCCAATATTTGTCACTGAGGTAGCACTGATTCCAGTGGGTGGGTATCCTTCCTCATTATCAAAAGAGGCAGTATCATTGTTGTTAATGTCGATGCCTGTATCTTCAAACCAGGCTTGATCAACCCTTTCAGCCACCAGACCACACAGGTTCTCCATGCTATCCTCACATGGATGTACCACCTCTTCTTCACAAATCTGTGGGCAACCAATCTCTTCTGCCTCATGAATCTTGCTCTCAGCCTTAACTTCCGTTTTATCTAGACAGATATCCTTGACTACTGAAGGAACCTTGCTCTCAGCCTCATCAACCTCAGTTTTATCTAGACAGATGTCCTTGACTACTGAAGGAACTACGCTCTCAGCCTCATCAACCTCAGTTTTATCTAGACAGATGTCCTTGACTACTGAAGGAACTACTCTCTCAGTCTCATCAACCTCAGTTTTATCTAGACAGATGTCCTTGACTACTGAAGACACTACGCTCTCAGCCTCATCAACCTCAGTTTTATCTAGACAGATGTCCTTGACTACTGAAGGAACTACGCTCTCAGCCTCATCAACCTCAGTTTTATCTAGACAGATGTCCTTGACTACTGAAGGAACAACGCTCTCAGCCTCATCAACCTCAGTTTTATCAGTACAGATGTCCTTGACTACTGAAGGAACCTTGCTCTCAGCCTCATCAACCTCAGTTTTATCTAGACAGATGTCCTTGACTACTGAAGGAACTACGCACTCAGCCTCATCAACCTCAGTTTTATCTAGACAGATGTCCTTGACTACTGAAGGAACCTTGCTCTCAGCCTCAACTTCAGTTGTATCAGTACAGATGTCCCTGACTACTGAAGGAACCTTGCTCTCAGCCTCATCAGCTTCCGTTTTATCAGTACAGATGTCCTTGACTACTGAAGGAACCTTGCTCTCAGCCTCATCAACTTCAGTTTTATCAGTACAGATGTCCTTGACTACTGAAGGAACTACGCTCTCAGCCTCATCAACTTCAGTTTTATCTAGACAGATATCCTTGACTACTGAAGGAACCTTGCTCTCAGCCTCATCAACCTCAGTTTTATCTAGACAGATGTCCTTGACTACTGAAGGAACTACGCTCTCAGCCTCATCAACCTTAGTTTTATCTAGACAGATGTCCTTGACTACTGAAGGAACTACGCTCTCAGCCTCATCAACCTCAGTTTTATCTAGACAGATGTCCTTGACTACTGAAGACACTACGCTCTCAGCCTCATCAACCTCAGTTTTATCTAGACAGATGTCCTTGACTACTGAAGGAACCTTGCTCTCAGCCTCATCAGCTTCAGTTGTATCAGTACAGATGTCCTTGACTACTGAAGGAACTACGCTGTCAGCCTTACCAACTTCAGTTTTATCTACACAGCTGTCACTGACCTCTGAATCGCAAGGTTCTACATAACACTGTGGAGATACGGGTGTAATTAAACCTGCCGTGAAGTTGCTTATCTGGTTACAGACTACTGCTATGTTTTTTAGCTGACTTTCTGCCGCTGGATAATCAGCTTGTGAACATTGAGCTTCCTTCTGGATTAACTCAATTCCAGAACTTGAGTCATTACCTGTTGTTTCCATAAAACCACCAACAACAGCAGAATTACCTGAAATGTCCTTTACATCAGTTTCTGTTGAATCTTGTGCAAAATCGTGTTTACATTGTTCATTTTGCATATCAAAGAGGATATCATCTACACTGACAGAACAATATGACAGTAACATCATATTTACAACTGGGTTTGAACTTTCACATTCAGGTTCAGTAAATCCAGATTTAATGACATCCCCATCAAGGAACATGTTGTCTTCACCATAGCACTGACTTCCTCCAAAAGACATATTCTTTTCTGTGACACTCAATACCAGGCCAGAACTATCTGTTGATTCTTTCTCAATACCCCAGTCCCTCTCTTCATGTAGAAACTTTCCAGATTCTTCTGTAATGCCACATGCCTCCAGGTTTTCAGAACGATTGCCAACTTCAGATGTTTTATTATAATTATCTGTCGTTTCTTTACCCTTCAATACACACAGAAACTCTCCAATTTCTTCAATGACATCGCATGCCCCTTGATTTTCATAAGTCTCACAAATGTCTGTCACTTCGGTCTCAATTCCTCTGTAACAATCTTCTGGTAAAGACATTTCAATTTCTTTGACCGTGCAACATGCCCCTTGATTTTCAGAATGGTTACCATATT